CGGGTCCCTGCGCCGCGGCCGCCCGTGGGAGCAGCGCGGCGGCCGTTTCCCCGCGCGGCCCGCGGCTGCCCCGCCGGGCGGGCAGCTGGTGCAGCCCGGAGCGCGGCGACGCGGCTCCCGACAGGTGTCTCTTCCTGGGGCGCTGGAAGCGATAATTTAACCGGTTATTGTGTGTTTAAAAACGCTCCTTTATTAATCTAATACGCTAATGTATTAAGCTGATGTTAGGCCCGTGTGTTTACACGAAGCCCCGGGCGCCGGGGCCCTGCCGCAGCCCGGGGCAGGGGCAGCAGGACCCTGCTCCCGTTCCCGCTCCCGTTTCTGCTCCCGTTCCCGCTTCCGTTCCCGCTCCCCAACGGCGCGCGGAGCCGCCGGCCAGGCCCGGCTCTGAGCGGTCTCCCTGCCGCGGCAGTTCCTGAGGCGGCAGCAGGTCCTCGCGCTCTACCGGAGCATCCTGCGGGCGCTGCGCAACGTGCCGGCCGCTGCCGACCGCCGCTCGCTGCGCGACTGGGCCCGCGCCGAGTTCCGCGGGAACAAGGACGCCACGGACGAGGTGAGCGGAGGCCTCGGCCGCCCCGAGCAGGGCCTTCCACCGGCCCCTGTCCCCTGAGCGCCATGCAGCGCCCCTTTCCCCCGCGGAGCATCCCTGTGAAAAATCCGGTGTCTCTGAGGATAAGCGCCCCTGTGTCTTCATGATGACAAAGTTTCCCTGATTGCTACGTCAAAAATCTGGAATTACAAATTCGAAAAGAAACTATCAAATCCAACTTGCTGGCACTAAGAATCTGAAGGAAAAGTACTGAACAATATCATACATCACAAAGGCCGTAGGGAGGCACAGAGAAAATACAAACTGGAGCCTGAATCCAGTCCTTTCTAAAACAGAGTTTTAAAGWTATAATCACTCCTCAAACACATCATGAACAAACTGGAGAGAATTAATTTATTTAACGTTCTCCGTGGTTATAGCATTACTTTACACAAAGACCAAATTACTGCAAAAGCTTTGTAAGAAGCCGTCTATCTTTTAATGCATCASAACCAGTGTGCTTGAGAAAAGCCCGTGCACGTGCATCCAGTTCAGGAGACTTCTTGTTTTGCAGGACGCGATTAGGATGATGATTACTCAAGGCAACAGGCAACTTCGGGAGCTACAGAGGACCCTGAAGCTGGCAAAATCCTGACCTTAACTTCATTGACACCTGAACTGTTACTGCTGTGAAGAAGTAGGGTTGATCTTTTTCCTTCCCCAGAACGTGGCTCTACGACCAGTCACTCTTTGATGACATTCTGGTGATGTTTAAAGATGGAATCTACCACCGCGGAGTTTGGGGTTTTGCTTTGTTTTTTTCTCCTCCTCTTCTTGGTTGGGTTACGCTGCTGTTCGGGCATCGGTCGGACACCTTAGAGAACTGAAGGGTTTAAAGCAGTGAGCGGGGGATGTAGCACGTGCTGAGATAAATCACAAGAGCAGCGTTTTGTCAGGAAAGTGGAAAATAAACTGGATTGTCCCATTTCTGTGGTAACAGCGTAGTGGCAACAGCCCWCTCTGTACTGTGCCTAGAGTGGGTGTTCTGGGATTATTTGTTCGTTTTTGAATGAACAAAGAGCAGAATTTGGGATAAACGAGTGGATCCAAATCAAATAAAGATGATAAAATGCTAAACAGTGTTAGGTGATGCTCCCTAATAAAGACGGAATTTGCGTTAAAAGGGAGGTCTCTGCGTATGAAAAGGGTTTCAGCCCRGAAAGAGTCCGGGGTGGGAAAGGAGCTGGTGGCTGTGGGGGCTGCAGGGACCCTCCGTCCCACCCTGCCAGCAGGGCAGGAATGCAGCCGCACTGCCCGGTGCCACCGCCGGAGCAGGGCCGGGAATGGGGCGGGAGGACAGGGCAGGCGTCGCCTTGGGAGCGGGAAGGTGCTTGCTGGCTCCCGAGGGAGGAAGTGCTGCTCCAAGGGGAAGGCCGCCCTCGCCTGCCCTGGCTTCGCTCGCCCCGGGGCGCTGCGCTCGGGCAGAGCACCCAGCAGGACGGGGGCTCGGAGCGACGGAAACAGGTACCTGGGGGCGAGGTTTGGTTGGGGTCTGCCCGCGGATGGGCGGCGGGAGAAGGAAGCTGTTGGTGCGAGCGAGCGGTCAGTCCGTGGGGTGTTTTGCACCYCTGTGGGGCTGGCTCTGCAGTCGGGCACTAGCACCACAACGCTGAGGAGACACTCGAGGTAGGGAGCCCCTTTTGGGAAGCTGTTAGTTACACCTGGGAGTGCTGCCCCCCCTCTGAAATAACTCGCAGGTCTCTGTCACCTCAAGTCTTATTCAGRAAAAAACCTATTTCCTAGTTTAAGTCTTTAAAAAAAGAACAGAACAGTCCTTGCTTGTTCCTGTCCCAAACGTTACTGTGTAAAAGCTGGAAGAGGCAGTAGCCGGCCCCACGGGAGGTCAGGCAACCGGCGCTCCGGGAATCGGGCTGCAGGGCAGGGAGCCCGGCTGCCAGCACAGGGGGCTGCCGCGACAGAGGCCTTGAGGGAGGCAGRGAGGGGCTTAAAAAGGAGGGTGATGGCGTTGGAAGTGATACCAGCAGGAGCCAAAAGGCAGGAAATCAGTAAAATAAAGGGAGGGGGTTTCTCGTGCTAAGTGTTGGTTAAGGTAATAGCGTTGCCTGAGCTGCAGAAGGGGTGATGCGGGTAGATTTTGGAGCCCTGGGAAGTGGAGACACATGTAATCCTGCAGCTCTGGGCTGTATAAGCATGGTTTTATTTCCTCCTTTCAGGAAGCTGCAGGATCCCTTCTGTCTTCTGATRAAGTCCTGCTTGGGAAGCACCTTTCCCTGCCCAGAGCCGCCATGGGTGTGCGGTCGTTGCCAGCCGCCCCCAGCGCCGCTCTCCCCGGCACAGGGTTCGGCTGCTGCTCCTGCGTAAGCCCCACATCGTGTTTGCCCCTYGTGGGGCTGCCCCGCTCAGAGCCCCGGCCGGGCTCTCCCGGGGCTCCCGCCTGCGCTGTGCGCTGCACGGCAGCCTTGGGATCCAGGGAGATTCCGTGGCCGGGGCTCCCTGGCTGCCCCAACCCAGCGCTCTGCGAGCACGGGAGGGAAAGGAAGGGTTGCAGGGATTTGGCAGGGACCATCAGCTCCAGCACTTCTAAGGAGGAACCGTCTCTCCTCAGCCTACGGAGCGGACTTGTTGCCGCCCTGAAGGCCCTGAACCAGCGCCCTGCACCCAGAGCCCAGCTCCTCCGGAGACGAGGGAGCTGCACAGCCGCAGTGACCGTGCGGTTCCCRCAGTTCGTGTGGCGGGGAGGGGAGCCCAGACCAGATAGATCCTTAAGGGGTCCCTTGTGTTTGGGCGGGAGCAGATGCAGGCGCGGGTGCCGGAGCAGGCGCGGGCCCGGCGGCGCCCGGGGCGCAGGGCTGCAGCCGGCACTGGGCGGGTGAGCGGGGCTGGCAGCACTGGCGGGCTCTCCCGCGCTCCCCGCCGCAGCCAGGGCCCAGGCCCGGCTCTGGCTCTGGTCCTGGTCCTGGTTGGGGCAGGGCCCTGGCCAGCGCCAGCCCCGGGCTGCAGCCGGGTGGCACGAGGGGCGCCCGGGGAGGCGCCAGGGGAGGCGCCGGCTCCTTCTCTCCGCACGCACAAGGCCACAACACGGACTGCGGAGCAAGGCGGCATTTACGTGGCACGACAGTCGCTTTCCGCAGCTGGGACAAATTCGGTGGCGCTGCTGCGGCCCTACGGCAGCTGCCACAGGAGAGTGCCTGGAGTTCACTACAGCAGACTACAGGCACGCCGTGGCGGTTCTGACTGACAGTGCACTAACAGAAGCTGGAAATGGATCCTTCTTCCCCGACGTAACTGCATCATTCTGCTTTTGATTTGGTCTGAACAGCAGTTTTATCATTAGCTGTTAAGTAACCTTACTTTTATTAACAGGATCTAGTGGAGCCCTGTCAGAGATAAACAGATTGATATAAAATACCAGAGAGGGTAAGAAGTATAGGATGGATTTAGGCAAATATTTGCCATTGTGGCCTGCAAGATTTTTTTTCATTCAGGTGGCTTGAGGGGGGCCCCAACAASCAGGTAAGTGTAAGGGGCTCTGCAACCAGAAAACCACTAAAACAAGGCTAACATTAAAACATTTGTTTTAATAACATAAACCAAAGGCAAAGAGGCAAGAGATGCCTCTGTATCCAGGGCCTGACTCACCTTAGCATCTCKCTCAGCTTGGCCTTTCCCAGCATCTTGCCTAAGGCGAGCCTTAGGCTCACCATTTCAGCCTGTTGCTGTAGCTTCACTGGCTACAGAGAGGCCCCGGGGAGTATCTAAAGCGTTATCAATAGCCCTTTAYCACTGAGGAGTTTCCAACAAAAGGTCTCCAATATTGCAGATTTATTTCAGTGTTGGCATCAGCACATGTCAACATTCAACAGCCAGTGGAACCCTCCAGCCACATATGCCCTATGTGAAAATCAGAGAATTCCCTTTCCAGAGGGCAGTTTGGGTTCAGTTTGTTTTCAGGCAGCACCTGGAAGTGGTGAGTGCAACACGTAATGGACTCCTGGCATAACAAGTTCAGGATGGAAGTTGCAGGACATACTGTCACCGACACRAAGAGCCCGGGCAGCTCTCCTGCCRGCTCTGGAGCTTCAGGAGTTCCCTCTAGTGCAGAACAAGAGGACGTTGCTGCTCGTCTGTCCGTAGCAGGCGCTACACGYGTGTCTGTGCCAGCGTTGCGGCTCCGCGCGCCCTGGCCCGTGGCTGCTAGCTCTCCTTGGGCGCCCTGGCCCTGAGCCGCAGGAGCTCGTCCTGCAGGGCGCGGAGCTGCTCGCGGAGCGCGGCGCTGTCCTGGTGCGCGCGCTGCCCGGCCAGGCTGCGCGCCTCCTCCAGCCTGCGCGCGTACCAGCGCTCCAGGTGCGCCGCCACCGCCTCGAAGAAGCTCTGCGTGATCTCCAGCGCCCGCGCCGCCTCGTCCCGCGGCGCCGCCGCCTGCGCGCCCCGGCCCG